TGTTTGCATTTATTTATACACCAGCAGAAAAGATCACATATTCAACCCTGGCTCACAAACACTGCTTTCGCATGCGGGCGTTTTGACCACAAGGCTAGGGGGAATCGGCAAGACTCACCTTCGAGGCATTATCATATGCAAACGACGCCACAAGTATTCCATCAATCGAATCACGTGTTGATTCACCGCAAATATGCTATCAGCCGACTGCAGAAGTAGATCGGGAACACGTTGCCCGAGCACTGCCCCGTACGGGACAAGCCGATCAATGTGACCGGCGGTTAGTGCGTGCACGTAGGAGACCAAATGACGAACAGATCGGTTAGCATCCGAGTCCAGAACGAACCAACGAGGCCGATCAGGACTGGACTGGTCCAAATGGACGTGAATAGCCAGAAAAGCTAGAGAATAATCGTGATGGAAGAGAAGACGAAATGACGCCACATGTGACTGATATTGGGGTGCCAAAAGAAGCACACGGATAAATCTTACCAGCATCCAATTGCTCTGGGCTACACACTGAATCGATGGAATCCGAGGAATTTGAGTGTCCGTGGATCAGCTCAGTTTCAATTGTGTCTGACTCGGCTGACCAAATCGGGTCCAGCAATAGTTCGTCTTGTATGATCAGCTCACCAACAGTCAAATGGGGCAGATGGTTGGTAACCAGTCTAAAGTTTGGCACACAGGGACGGGGAAGGGAAGCGAAGTGAATCATCTTGTGACAACCAAGTGTGATATGAAAAACTGAACACTTTTGTTTAAAAAAAGGGGAGAGAGAAAAAGAGGTAATAGGCTCTATCAAATGTAGACAAAACTATTCAAATCGATTCGATGTTATGGAATGCGTTCGGTTAACAAAAACACCGGAGTCGGGTGAAGCCTCCTCCTCCGTAGGAGTAAATTCCGTCTCCAAAGCGGGAACAGAAGCGGTTGGAGGGGGGGCGAGGGACGGGAAACGCGAAACAAGTAACAGCCAAAAAAAATCTAACTGACGTGCTGGGGTGGGGTGGGGTGGCTTGTGAAATATGACGGGATGTTTTTTGAACACACGCCGGTCTCGGTTACCTGGTTGGTGAAGCGAGTATGCAGACGGCTGGTGAAACAAATAGATGTGGCACGAAACAGAACCAACTGTCAAGTAAATAAGCTTGGCATTCGTTTCGTTCATGAACAGCGAAATCATGTATAAAAAAAACAAGTTGGCATCACAACACGTTTTCTGTTTCTCTGGATACGATCTCGCCCGGGTAGTACCAAGTTCGTTTGGCACACAGTTTGAAGTCAGGCTAGCGTGAAAATAACGAATTCGGTGATATGTAGAAAAATTAATGTTAACTTAGACTACCACTCGCCTCGACATGAATCGATGTAGAGTGGGATGTGGACGATGTGAGGAACAATGAAAAAGAATGTGTTCCACATGGAGTGATATCAACAAGTACATAGCTT